GTCTTCGGTCAATAGAGTTTGTTGGCTGGAGACTTCAAATTGAATCCATGTATGGGCCGAAGTGGCGGTTGTTCGGATGCGGTATTTGTATACCCTGCACTGAAGCTTTGTAGGTGAAGCTTTGTAGGTGAAGCTTTGCAAGTGAAGCTTTGAAGCTAGAGCTCTGTAAATGAAGTCTTTGAAGCTGATTTGACATGAGTGATGCTCATGCATGTTTATGTTGATTGACATGAGTGATGCTCATGAATGTTAACATGAGTGATGCTCATGAATGTTAACATGAGTGATGCTCATGAATGTTGACATGAATGATGGTCATGAATGTTTATGTATGATTATCATGAGTGATGCTCATGAATGTCTATGTATGAATGACATGAGTGATGCTCATGGATGTTGTCATGAATAATGCTCATGAATGTTAACATGAGTGATGCTCATGAATGTTGACATGAATGATGGTCATGAATGTTTATGTATGATTGTCATGAGTGATGCTCATGAATGTTTATGTATGAATGACATGAGTAGTGCTCATGTATAATTTGGAGTACTGGGCGTACTTTTGATCGTCTGGTTGGAGCTATTTTGGGCTTATGGGTTTTCGCCCTCCACAACATGTCAGCCCATTTGTTTTGGGCTTTTCCTTTTTTTTTTTTTTTTTTTTTGTTTTTTTTTTTTTGTTTTTTTTTTTTTTTTGTTTTTTTTTTTTTGACCCTCTGATGGGGTTTATACATATTACCCTCTGATGGGGTTTATACAGATGTCTCCGAAAGATAATAAAAATAAATTACATCATTCGGGTGAGGTGTTTATTCCTTGCTTTTGCAGTGTTTTTCTGCTGCCCTCTCTCTGTGTCTGGCAGACATAAAGAATCATAATAATACAAAAAATCTTTTGCTTTTCTCTTTTCCTTTTGCTTTTGTTTCTGTTTCCCACTGCTTTTCTCTTTGCCTTCTTCTTTTCTGCTTTTGATATGTCGCTTGACGACATGATTAAGGGCACAGCTATTTGGACAACCTCTTCGACCCCACCCACCTGCTTTTCTTGGACAGCCTGGTCGTGCCCATCCACTATCACCCCTCTTTTTTCTATTTCTGATGTTTAAACATAAGCTGGTGTACTCCAGCTGTAAAAAATCCCATCAAAGTACTTTTCTTTTCTGCTTTTGCTTTCGGCCTGTTCCACCAAAAGCAAAAGAATCCCCAATTGTGCCCATGCTTCCTTGCTTGTCTAGCAGCTTGTTCATCTCGTTCTGCGTGAGCTCCGAGTTTACTACAAGCTCCTCTGACCAAAACCCAACAAAGCATGTTTTGAATTGGTGTAAGCGTGCAGAGGTATACCCTGCATTGGTCTTCGCATCGGCCTCGGCCACCGAGTTCGACTGAGTCGACTCGGAAGATTCGGCGGGAAGATCATCCATTCCTGATCAGCCTGTACTCGGGCTCGTACTTCTTTGCATTCTCAACAGAATCATAAATCAAACCAAAATCAGTGGATTTTCCTCTTCCAAACTGGGTGCGGAACTTGAAAACAAAGATGGCATTTGGATCCCTCACTTCATACAACCCTGCCAGTTTCTCCTTCAACTCCGCCTTGGAAACATTCGGTCTTCCTGGAAACATTCGTCTCCGATGAAGGTCGGCTCTCAGCAGCCCTTGGCGACGTCAGAGTCGGTGGATAGCCCACTGGGAACAGCGCCTATCTTCTCTTCCACCTTCGGTGGATCTACGAGCTTGTCGGAAACAGCCTCCGCATTGGCCTATGATTTCCGACCTTGATCGGGGATGAGGGAGAGAAGGCAGAGCAGAAGCAGAACGGAAGGGATCGTCAACTTCCTCATCGTTGCGACTCCAAAACACTTCGAAGAAGAACAATTGCGCGACACGGGTCGGGTTTGTGGTGGATGGGGAGGGCCTTCAAGTTTCTTGCTTTCGCCATGGAAATTACAGAGTGGTGCTTCTCTGTAATTGGGAAAGGCTCTCTTTTCTGTCAATTTTGGGTTTTGAGAGAGATAGGTTTTTCTAGGTATTTAGAGAGATGGTACCTTTGGAGTTGAGTTTGAAGAGAGAGAGAGGTTGGGACTTTGGAGTTGGGGGATGTGAAGCTGCAAAAAGCCGAGAGAGTACAACCCGTGTTGGGTTTTTGCAGATTTTGTGATTTTGCAGATTCACGGCAGAGGTGAAAAAATGAAAGACAACCGACACAACTTTTCGTATCGTTTCCCACAGACGGCGCCAAATGTTGATGCACAAAACCGGATGGTCTTGGTACAACGTAAATCCGACCGTGAATCTGCATGTAATGTAAATAACACAAGATGTATCGTGGTTCACCCCAAGGTTTGGGCTACGTCCACACTGATTGTATTATATTTCTCTGAGAAGTGAGGGAGAGAAAGAGCTCTATAAGTGAGAGCTTTGAGAGGGGTGAGGAGAAACTTAGGAATTGGCCTCTGAGGATGAGATCTGAGGGTGAGAATGAGCCTCCTCTAGAATGAGGGTAGGAGTCCCCTTTTATAGAATAAGGGGCTCCTCCTCTATTACATATTTGCCCCTTCCTTTATCCCATAATTACATTTAAGTCCCCTGAGTATTTGTACGAGATCTAAATACGAGGCCCTAAATATGGTATAAACATCATTAATATAAACAACTATAAATTTTAATTTTTAATTAAAAAAATTAGTAACATACATAGAAATAATTATAACATTAATTTCAAGAACTTCGAGCAAAAATTAAAAACCAACAAGGTTTCAGTAAAAAAATATTCATAACTAGAGACCGCATCCAAAATCTCTCTAAAGACAAACACACACCTTGTCTCAAATTATAACGTATCACAGTGTAAAGTTGATTCATATATATACAGCCCAAGTTGAACCTAAATTCTTTTTAGGAGAAATTAGGTTTACATTCTTCTTTTTGCTACTCCATTGATTAAAATCTTATTCATTTTCAATTTTTGATCAAGATCCTTGGGTATTAATAACATCATTAATTATTTGAATAATAAAATATTTTTATTTTTAAATGTATTCCTTTAGTGTTAAAAATGTTAAAATTAGTATATTTATATTTATGATTAAATTTTTATCATATATTTTTATTGTTAGTTTGTACCTATTTTTAATTTGTACCCATATATTAGTTTCTTTTTGTGCCCATATTTTTTAAAGTTTTATTTGTGTTTGTATCCATGTGTATACCGTCACATGACATTGTATATTTAATCAATGATAGAAAAATTACATATGGTATACTTATGTTTTATGCCTAAACTTTGTATCATATATTTATATTTTTAGTTTGTACCTACTTTTAATTTGCAACATTTTTTTTTAAATTTGTAGTATTTTCTTTTTAGTTTTATTATGTACCCATGTATTAATTTCTTTTAGCGCCTATATTTTTAAAAAATTCATTTGTACTCATAATTTTTTAATCTTTTATTTGTACCCTAATTTATTTATAATGTACCTATTCTTCTTTATTAATGTACCACTTTGTTATATGTGAAATGTACCAAGTTTTTTTAACACTACGGATACATTCTTTTGCCATTTATTATTTCTTATTTTTACATAGTTTTTATCCATTTATTCAATCAAAATGTTTGAATTTTTTTATTATAACCGTTTCTAATAGTATTATAATGATGAGTTTTAAATTTATAGGATTATAAATCACATAAAATATCAAACAATTAATGTCAAAACTATAAAAATATAAATATTAATTGTAATATAATGAAGTGTACAAAGTCAGTCAAGGAACTTGATTAAACTTTGAATATCATTAAGGTTTTAATAAAAAAATGTTAAAAATTAGAGACTGCATCTAAAGTATCACTTCTTTTTATGGCTAATATTTTTTATATCGTATACCACAGAGAACATTTGATATTTAAGCCTAAAACAAGAAGGGAAGGAAGGAATTCAGAATTCATTTTCCGTGATTGTAAAAAACAGACAATAATCGAAATTTATGTGGATGTACCTTAAAGACAACTAAAAAGAGTTCATATGACTTTGTTCCGGAAGTACATGGCATTAAGTGTTGTATTTTTATTTATTATCCTTTGCTTCAGTAGAAGCATGGAGATATTTACGTATGAACCGAGTTAAAGTTATATGCGCATTTAATGGAGTGCAACGTATGCCATGGACGATCCTCATTCCTCATGAAAAAAATTGTTGGGTATCAATCTTTTAATTTTAATATAAATAAAAAAAAATACAATAAAGAAAAGGACAAGAAGGAAAGAACTGGAAACACACGCACATGAAAGATATTTGATTCGTATGATAAGAGATTGCGGCGGCTAACTATACCCCAAATCCCGCCACCAATCACTCCAAGACATGACATATAATATTCAACAAATTAATTATACAAAAAAATGAAATTTGAAAGATTGTTGACAAATGTTATTCATATCATATTTTTGTACCACATTTTTATACCATCGTAGGTGACATTTGATGTGGACAACCATATTATTTGAATTTAATCAGGTTTTTTAATTTAGTTCATTATTTAATAAACTAATAATTAAAAAACTAGTTAATTAAATGATGATTATGGTATACCAGGAGTCTTTCACATTCATTTTCTTGGATTTTGTAAATTTTTCAAATGATGTAGTTGTCCACATTAAACATCACCTAAAATAGTATAAAAACATAGTATGAATAACATTACTCATGAAATTAAAGGGTAGGGGAATACTAAGGCAAGCAGACAATGCCCTCACTTCTCAGGCCATTTGGTGGGGTGCAGTAGTAGCTATACTAAAATATTTTGCTGCTTCTTGGTTTTAGATAAGATTCAAATAACTTATTTAGCATAAGTGAAGGTACGAGGAAAGCAATTGAAACTTGTTCATGGGGTATTTATTTTTTGTTGATTAAATATATTCTATTTATCTGATTGATGATATTCCATAGATCTGTAACTTTGCTCTACTAAGCATAAAAAAACAATAAAGAATGGTTGAAATTTAACTAAACGATCATTTATGAAAAATGATGTGCGGGGAAGAACCATGCATTCAGATTACACCTTAGATCAGAGCCATATATGAACACACATGATTTCTATCAACAACTAGCATTTTAGTATTGGAGTTACAATATATAAATGGATCGTGTATGAAGTATGAACAAAAAGAAAGCGAGAGGGAGTCTATTATTTACATATAATTCAAGAAAGAAAGAGTAAAGGGAAATAAAAAGTGTCCTCATAATTTAATTGTTGGTGGTGGTCATGGTTAAAATGGAGGGAGGATAACTCACAGAACATGATTTGGTGAATTTTAGTGTAATAATTTTGGTGGTGAAAAAGCCTAATCTGAGGAGCAAATCCATGATTCCACCATACCTTCGCTTCGAGTGGCGGTAGTAGTAGTAGCAGCGGCAGTAGTAGTTGGAGGCACATTACCGCCATTAAGCACAATATTCGACGAAGAACCAGCAGCCGAGTAGTTGAGTTTCCCATTGCCGTAATTTCCATTGATAGAACTCATTAGTCTTTGATGATCAACCACATTGTTGTTGTCGATGTTCTTGTTGGACCCTGTTCCGTCAGTACCCCAACTTGGACCATTACTAATGTCGTGCCTGGAAAGCGCGGCGTCCGAGGAGGATACGATGATGTTGTTGGAAAGCGCATTAACATTAAGCTGTTGCTGCTGCTGCTGAGTCAAGCCAAAATGTTGATGATGAGGCCCCCCCAAAGAGCCTGCTTGATGATGATGAGGTGGTGAATTAATGGACATTAATGGGTATTTAGGATTTTGTTGCTGGGATTGAAAAAGGGATTGGAAATTGAGAACTTGTGAAGAAGATGATGATGAAGGGTTTTGGTTGTGCAGATTGAGGAGATTGTGATTTGTGGAGGTTGAACTAACGGGATCAAGCAATGAAGATGGTGGTTGGTGCGTCACTTTTTGAGCAAAAGGCCTCAAAAGGTATGAAGAAGGAGCGTCCAAACCCAAACCACCACCTCCTCCTCCTCCGGGTGCTGATCTCATCAATGAAGAGGCAGCCGCAGCACTGCCAAAAAGGTCCAATCTGCTCCTCGGGAACGGCGAGGAAGAAGAAAATGGAGGAGCAGGGATACCTGTAAATTCCTGAACCATGGCTCTGAAATTTGTGGTGTCTGTTGTCAGCACCGTCGTCGGTGCTCGCCTCGACGCTCTCGACCTCTTCTTCGGATTCCGAACGACGCCGTTGTTGTTGTGGGTTTGGTTGTCGGGAGCCGAAGAAGAGGCCGAAATGTTTTGATGATCATGTGGGATCTGAAGCGCCGCAAATGTAGACGACCCGCCTCCTCCTCCGCCGGCGGCGGCGGCGCCTCTGTTTTGTCCTAATTGGTTGATACTGGGATTGGTCAAAAAGGGTTGGCTGAGGCCGCCGAGATCGATGGGATTGGGGTCGGATCTTAGGGTTTTGGACCACATCATGTCGAAATTGAGGAGTGGGTTTGGGTTGGTGAGCCTGGATGATAACGGATCGAACATATTTGATAAAGGGTCCATGTGGTGGTGGTGATGTGGTGGTGGGTTAGACATGGGACCGAGTTGACTCGGTGGGTTACTGAGCAAGGCGGAGATTGACTCGGCGCGCGAGTCGTACTCGTCATCGCCGCCGCTGGAGGATTGCAAACTCCCACTATTACCAGAATCCATAAGAGAGAGAGAGAGAGAGAGAGAGATGGAAAGACGTAAAAAGGGACAAAGATATGAAGGAGTAGAGAGATTTGGTTACTTAAAATACAAACTCATTTAAGAAGAGCAGGCTACCAAACAAACAAGGCAGAGAGAGAGAGAGAGAGGTGTGAGCTAAGCTGTTGAGAAAAGTACCACTACAAGAAGCCATATGTATGCATGTCTGCTGGAATGAATGAAAGCTGTGAGATCTGAAGGGGAGGGCCGGGAGAGGACAGAGCTTGGTGGGTTGTTTGTCCTGGAGCTGCAGAAGGGTATGCCGTATGCGAGCCTAGTGAGGACTGAGGAAGAGAATAATAAACAACCCACACGGCGGCCACGGATGCAGACACGGATCATGAAAATTGATGGTTGCAGAAAGAGACTGTTACAGAAAGAAATGAAAGCTATTAGTATTATCGATCAGAGATTGCTCCTCTTCCTTTTACTATTTTTGGGTTAAAGGTCAATTAGGGTTTCAATGTAGAGAAGATGAGAGAGAGAGAGAGAGAGAGAGAGGAAAAGGGGTTGTTCTCTAGCCTTTTCCCTTCTCTAAAAGAGAAGCTGCTTCTGTGTTCGAGGTTCCACTCAAAAGATCAGCGTGGGGTAGACGTGGGTGTTTCTGAGAGAGAGAGAGAGAGAGAGAGAGAGCAACTAGTCAAATGAGAGGAGAGTTGTGGCTTTGGTTCACAGTGTGAAAGGAAGAAAAGGAGATATATTTAATCGAGTTAAAATTAAATTAATTCAGTGAATGAGATATATATATATATATATATTTTTTTTTTTATTGGAATATTGTGAGGTGGGCAAGCAACCAAATCAGGGATGATGGTTGTTGAATGGTACTATAAAGGTTAGAGAACCACCATCACCACCGTCACTTTTAAATAACCTATGAAAATACTAAAAAATAAAAATAAAAACCCAAGCAATACATACTAGGACAATATTATTCATATACCTATTTTAGTTTCTCATACATATTTATTAATTTTTGTCTATTTATCTTCTTTAATTCAATAGATCATACGACTGAAAATTGAAAATGATATGAGAAAAGTAAAAATAGATGTGCAGATAGCAGTATCTATAAACTAAACCAAAGCATATGAGCTAATTATTGTTCTACATGTCAAAACCTTTTTAAAATTCTATTTACAAAATTAATCCCAGGGTTAGGTTTAATTATGCCATGGTAAGTTGGTTAACTACCTACTTTCTTTGCTTTTTATCCAAAATTAAACTATGAGTCTATGATGATATTTGAAAATATTATACCCTCCCAATGTTTGACAAGGTCAGCAACTTGGTATATCAAAAAAATAAAAAAATATATAAAAATCGGGGGTTATTATTGAAGAACCTCAGAGAATCTTTCAGTCTCTCTCTGCTGAAAATTTAGATGGAAATAATCATGATGTATCTCTCTAATCTACCTGCTGTTTTCCTCTACATACTTTAATTACCGCACTTTTCTACTCTTTTGCAAATCTTTCTTCCACTTTCTATTTTCTTCAGTGCAAAACACTGTTTGCAAGAAAAGAAAGAAAGAAGAAGAAGAAAGCAAACGAAATCCTTGTTTGGACGGATCAGTTCAACAACATCTTAGGTTCGCTGCAACCATCAAAACTAAAATAAGAACCAACAAATATTAAATCCCATATTTAAATACCCTTTTCCACACTAAATAACCATACATAATGATAATTAAGTATAACACAACTTGTGTTGTAGACATATAAACGTCATTATCGTTCTTCTCGTTATATTATTATACTTTTTTTATACATTTTTTTTTGTCCCGGTAATGTATTATATATATATATATATATATATATATATATATATATGTGTGTGTGTGTGTGTGTGTGTGTGTGTGTAAAATATATATATACACCTTACCAAACATACAGATAAAGAAAAAACAACATGCATGTATTATGCATATGTATGTTTTCAGAATAAATATATAGTCTACCCCCACAAAACAAAACCCTAAACCTAAAATCTGCATTTCACGTCTCCTCTTTTATATTCGATGCATGTGTTTTAACCCTAATGTGTCATTTCGGTCCTACCTAAGTACTTATTACATATCATATAGTTTTGAGTTGCAAAATGTATCAATTTTAAAAACTATCATTCTGGTCATATGACTAAGTGGTACATGTTTTATCTAAGATTTAGCTATTTTAAAGATTCATTGTATCTCTTTTATATTTAAGGATATAACCGTAATTTTACATACTACTAAGTGATACGTATCATAAAAAAATGATAGTACTATTCAAACACTCATTTTTATCTCTCACGCACCTTTGTTATTAATTTTTAACCATTCATCTTCTTAAATTCATTCAATCCGATAATAAAAAAATTTAAAAAATACATAAAAGGTAAAAAATAATATATAGACAACATCACTCAAAAGAAAAATTGCATGTTGTCGTATTTGTTTTTATCAGCTTGCTATGTGTATCCACGTGGCTTTTATTACCCACTAATCAATTACCTAATTGTGTCTTATTTAAGTTACTTGAACATGTGAAACTGCTTTTGTTTTTAACCGTATGTGGGCGCCATCTCTGCCAACTAGAAAGATTAAGTAAGATCAAAATTTTTGGGGTTGATGGGACCTCCATCATTTTCAGTGAACCTGTACCTCACACAAGGATGCAATGAAATTGGTGATGTTCAGGTTGGAGAGTCTGTGGTACTATTGCAAATTTTTGGATTGTTATCTTAATGCACTTGAAATTATCCTCAAATTATTTTCTAATAGAACTTCATTGCCAATGAGTCTCTCCTTCTTCGATTTGAATTAGGATTTCAAACCTAATCTTATTATGCGATTAATTCATACTTTACCCATAAACCTATCTTGATCCTCAAACAATCTTACTTCTTTTAGGATTTGACCATATCAGAAACCAAGCATGATCCTTAAATAGTCGTACTTTGTCTAAGACTTGACCACGTCACCAACAATACATTATTGGGTTGAGACTCACAGCCTCCTTTATGAGTTGTCAACCAACTCAGCCCAAACCTAAGATTTTAGGCCCAAACATTGCTCCCCTCACTTTTGAAATCTTCAGTCGCGAATAATGACCAAAGGATTTTGAAATGTCATTACCAATCAACCTCCACGACAAAATTTGATTTATGACCTCAAACCAAGCGCTACAAGCCACCATTATGTCCTGACACACCAAAATGTCACCCCTGCCACACGTCGAATTTCTGTAGACTCTTTTCAACTTCATTCTAAACAACGCCCATTAAAATTGCACGGGTTCTTGGTTTTTTTTTTTCATGCAAACAATTGATTGTTGCCCCCTTATTTTCTTAAGCATCAGCCTAAATAGCTGAATGGTTAAGAAAATAAATGTCTTACAAGCAAGAATAAAAGTGGCTAACTATGATGGAGGGGGCCAATGATACTTTATCCTGAGCCGAGATCTCTTCATTTCACTGTCTTCAATATGATTTTGTTTCAGACATTGACGTAAAATAATAAATGATTTCTTCAAATATTCTTATTTTTCGACTGAAAAGTAGTCCAAGTTATTTTGCCTGAGACAATCACTTTGCCAATTTCAACTTTTAACTTGAACTACTAAGGGATTGTTCCATATCAGCGGTATCTTTGATAACCATAACAATTAACATGGTTTTGTTCGCTTAAGGCCATGTTTCAGCCTTATTTGTCTTGGAACATTTCTTTGGCAAATCTTTGTTAGAACCAAACTCGTGCATCGACGTGGATGGAGGAGCTATGCAAATCCGGATACCTGTAATAGAAAAAATAACCATGATTAACCTAGGGTACCAGTGGGACACTAGCCAAAAGCACTTCGACGACCAAGTTAGTAAGTAATATTGAGACTTAAGCAGTGGGCAAGAGAATAAGCAAAGAGTATGCACGAGTGAATTGTGTTACTAGAGTTATGCCCTAGATGAGGGTTGCACGAGTGAATTGCGTTACTAGAGTTATGCCTTAGATGAGGGTACTTATACACATCAGGAGACAGAACTTTTACGATATAGAATACATATTAAATCGGAAGAATCCAATAGGGTATCGAGGATTAGATATATATTGTGTCCTTTTAGGAGTGTGATTACTTGTGACGCATGCTAGTTCCTAGATTGTAGGAATCTCCAAAAATATAGAACTCATCTGATCCTCAGTCTGATCAGGTTTCAATGTCTTGTGGAACAAGAATGATCAATCTCAGTGAAGTCGACGAACTTCACCTACCTTTCCGGAGTACAACAAGATGTGGTGGTATCGATAGTCCGTTTGAGTAGCTCAAAAGTGATTGAGTCCATGATCAGACTTATAAGGTATGCGTATTTCGAACTATGGCCTTGAAAAATATGGTCCCAAAATTGCCCCTAACTATAAATCTGAATGGGGCGTTCTTCTTGAACATGGATAATTATCCAAAGACCATGCTTTTTATAGTAAATCAGAGTACATAACGCTTTGTATTATTTTTACACGTGGTGATTCGGCCTCATTACCATTGCAAGGTATTAGAGAAGTTCTGGATTTAAATATATTATCTAAAAAAAAAAAAAATTGTGCCACAAAGACAGGATTTATGAGAGACATCAGCTTGCGTGTGCACGAAAAATGAGGAACTGCTGTATACATGAAAATTCTGTAACGAATGAAAAGAGAACACGTGTACAAAGTAGATTTGTATCGATGAATTTGTAGGGTTACAGTCTTTGTTTACAATTTTCCTCTGATTCAATCTTCAAATTTCATGTAGATGCGTAGGTTGTTGATCCAAAGGTCGCGATGACTTAATCTCGAACGAACGATTGAACGATTGCTTCAAGTTTTGAGGTTCAAACAATGCGCGATGGTCTTCACCTTTAGGTTTGTGTATGACCTGCAGCAAAGGTGATGTTGATGTGGGATTTTGTTAATTCAAGGGTCTTGGTGACTTGATCTTGAATCGAATGTCATTACAAGTTTTAAGATTGCAACAAAGTCTTGAAGGAATCGGCACAAGTGCTTGTTGATTCTTCAAGGGAATGCTTTAGGTTTGGTTGAAAGAAAGCTTTGGATTTGGTTGTACGTTCTTTGAAGAGAGCTTTTACAGCGTATTAGTCTTCAAAGATTTGGTAAAGGTTATTCTTTTGTGAGAATATTGGCCCTTCAATGTAGAAATTTTTGGCCTTGAATGTAGAAATTGTCCACCTTGAATGTTTAAGGACCTTGTATTTATATACTTCTCAAAGCTTGCATTTGGATAGATTTGGCTTTGATTTGTGTCTTGATTCGTCCATGGGAGAATTTAGGCATGTTTTGTGTCTTAATTTCAGCCACTTTCCCTTGCTTGGCCGAAGTCTATAGGGCTTTCTTGCCTATTTTGCAAGCAATCTTCAATTCTTACTTGTTTTATGAAGATGCTTTAGCTTTCTTCCTGGTTTGAGAGCAATTTGGGCCCTTTGCCGATTTTAAGGAGATTTCTTCCCCTTTGTCGAATTTTAGGGAGGTTTTATTCTTCATTTGCTTGATTTGTGCCACATGTCATTGATGACTTGTACATTTATGATGCATCATATGCCATGTGGAGCTTTGTGATACATCATTTGTATACAACGAAATTTACATGTCT